TATTGAAGTATCTATGTATCACTGACTAGATAAAATCCAACTTGTTCTCTATATGTTCATAAGAAATCAGCGGTTCTTAAAGTGTGCTTGTGGACCCATGGGAAGGGAAGTGGGTCTCAAAGGTCAAAATTACATTCATGATAATCTTAAAATGTTATTTGCCATTTTTCACCCTCATTCTCTTACAAAGGTACAGGGGAGTTTTCTAGATGCAGCATAACTTGTCATATTGCAACAGATTGCTTGAAGAAGCTAGTATGAGAATCCAGGTGACTTCTATTAAACCACACAATAAAGAAATATGCAACACTGGGAAATTAAATTTGTTTTGTTTCAGAAAAATTACATTTTGGAAACTATATGTTAACATGTAATGAATTTATTATTCTTTTTAAAAAGAAATTAATATTTTTAAATTTCTCAGCTTTAATTTCTAGTGTGGTAAATTATCAGTAGAGGTAAATCACATAAGGGTGAGTATTTTGGAACTCTCAATAATTTTTAGGTATGCCACAGGGGTCCTCAGACCAAATAGTTTGGGAACTATTTCTAAAAAAACCTCTCTCCTAGAGTAGGAAGTTCCTCTTAGATTAAGGAAATAGCTTCTAGGAAAATTAAGCTTATCAGTCAGCCATGTCTTAGAATGAATTACTTCAATCTTTTAATCAAATTGCTTTTGCTTTAATAGCTTGGGTACAGATTATAGTGTTCTGGGTCATCCTGTCCTCCTAAGTTTCATATGTACTTACAGGCCATAAGGCAGTGAGGGAAAAAAAAGGAACTCTCCTTCCTCTCTGGTTGAACACACTTGCTGATCACAGCAAAAGAGGACTCCACTGGGACCTCCAATCGGCTGACCCTATCAAATTTGCCCTCTTTGTCTTCCTTTTTTGTCCTTAATTCTCTTTTCGATAGTTAAATTCATGGTTCTATATAAGAAACTTCAATATGTAGAATTTAAGCTCCTTTGTGCCCGAACTCTCCATTATCCACAACTGGCAAAAGAACTTGGATTTTAGCTGAACCTGGGTATTTGCCTACTCCACTCCTGTCCTCAAGTATCTGAAATAGACAAAAACGAATGACCATGCTGTCTCATTTCACTCTTACGGGATAAAACCACAAGTGGACCCTCTCTGCTTCTAGGCAACAATTCTCCATTCCCCTATTGGACTCCTTCTCCCATTCACTGAGTTGACTATTCTGCACCCCCTTCTCCCTCAAGGACCCAGCACAGCTTTCATCCTCCTCATTCATGGCTGATACCCTTCCTTTTTTATTCACTGGGGGAATGGAAGCTATTAGAAGAGAGTACGCACACTTTTCCTCCGTCAAAGATAGCATCTTACCTGCCTCTGTGCTAAGTATTGTTTCATTTCCTGTTACAATTCCTCTATCAATGCGTTGAACTCTATACCCTCCTCTTATTCAAGACTCCTGTTCCTAAAACTTCTATCTCCTCTGCAGTAAAATGAACTGTGTGATGATGACATTTTCTTATACATAGAACACTTAAGGATTCGAAACACACATACACACACACACACACACACCCCACCCTCCCCGTTTGAATTAATAAATTCAGTAAATTTACAGGATACAAAAATCTACCTTCTTCACATGACTCAGTGGTAAGAACCAGCAGGAGCACAGAGGGAGAAGAATAAATTAGGGAAATTTGTCTCCCTGGCTCCCTCCTTATGATTTCACTGAGGGATGGTAAATGATAATCCTTGCCAGGTCAGACTCTCCTCACTGCCCTTTCTGTCTCAGGTTTTTGATAACTGCTCTCTTACTCACCAACCTTTAGGCCTAGAGGTACAATATAACCTCTTCCTGTTCTTAGTAGCCCTGGGTCCTGACCTTTCCCTCATGAACTCCCTACAGCTCTCTCTCCCTTTTGGAAAAGTCCCACTTATGAACTGCTTAAAATTACCCAAGTAATATGCAGTTCTCACCAGTAGCCTGACAATCTACCTCACACTCACAGCCACTATAGGATTAAATGTTAAAATTTCCTCTTTCAAAACATATTCCAAACCTAAACAGTTTTCACCACCTGTACTATCCTCATCCTCATTTAAGCCACCTTAATTTCTCACCTGGATTAGAACAATAGTTTAGCACTTCTGCTCTCTCTTCCTACCTCATTCTATTCTCCACACAGCAGCCAGTGTCATCTTTTTAGAAAGAAAGTCCGACAATGCCATGCCCCTGTTCACAAGCTTCTAAAAGATCTCGACTAAGTACAGAATGAAATAAAAATTAAAATCTCTGATGATGGATGGAAAGGCTCTATGTAGTCAGCCTTTGCATCTCCTGATCACATTGCCTGACACTCTCAGTAATGCTTAGTCACATTGTCTCAGTCACAGCGGCCTCCTTGAGTGCCATGAACACTCACATACAGCTACTTCTTCAGAGCATTTGCACTCAATGTCACTGTACAGGGAACGTTCTCGTCCTAGGTATTTCCATGTTCCTTTTCTCTTTTTTTTTCAGCCCTCTGCTGAAATAGCATCTCATAAAAGAGGCCTCCTTTGAATGCACTGTCTAAAATAACAACCTCCAGTCTATGTCTACTTGCACACCTTTATTTCTCTCCATACCACTCATCAGTGCTCCATACGATCTATGTGTTAGCTAGTTTACGGTCTTTTCCCACTACATTTTATGCTCTGTCGGTGAAAGGATTACCACTTTTATCAGAACCTAGAACAGCACATGGCATTTATTTGGAAGCTCCAAATAAATTTGTGGAGAATGAATTAAGGAATGAATGGGAATGGAAATATACCAAATGGATCAAGGAAATTAAATGCAAACCTAAAGGAAAAGCCAATTCATAGTCGCTTTGCTTCATGAGTTTGTATTGTACATAAAACAACTCAAACTAATACAACAGCAACGGATTAAGAGAACCTGATTCAACCTCTAACAGGAGAACTGTTTCTGGAAATGGAACTAAGCACATTTCCAAAGCCAATTATAAAGGGTTCCTTCCCCGGACCATGCCAGAATGGGCATCATAGGGTTTAATGCTCTAGTTACCCAGGGTGGGCGTATGTATGTTTGTTTGTTGTGTTTTGTTTTTGTGGTCCATGGCTCAGCAGGACCCCTTGTTAATGAGCTATTATACAATCTATCATATGTGGAAAAGGGTATATAAATGTTTATGTATATGTATATGTGTATGTGAATGTATATGCATATGTCAGTCAATAAACAGCAAAAAGAATAACAATGTACCTATACCCAGGATAAGCTATATATGTGTCCAAGAATTTTTCTTAAGATTTCTCTCTTCCAGATTTTAACCTCCCTCTCTCCTCTTAATAATTATCTTGAATTTTAAGTCGATTATTCCCTTGCCTTTCTTAAAAGCTATATTGCATATGAAAACTATAAAGATCTGAATAAAAATGAAATTTTCTACTCTTCTCTCACTTCTGTTTTTACTCATCGTTGTTTTAAGATTCACACATGTTGTATTTAATTCATGAATCTTCATTTTTGTACATCATTCGACTATAGAAATATATGCCAGTTTATTTACCTGTGTTACTCTTGATAGGCTTTCAGGTGGTTTTCAGGTTGCTGTGCTATCCTCTACAGAGCACTATGAATATTCTTTTATGTATCTTTCCATTGGTATTAATTAGCATTGGAACTGTTCTCTCTTTAAAAGGCTATATACTTCTGTGTTTAATCGACTTTACATTGATCTTGCAATTACTCTGAGGGAAATCTTGTTTTCCACACTTAGACAGCAGTTTACTGAAGCCCTTCGAAAATTTGCTGACATCACCTTAGACAATTCATTTGCCAAAGTTTGGAATTTAACACAACAATCACAATTCAGTCTCTGAAGTGTTTTCTTTTCCTAAAATCCCCCAACTCCAAGCTCTTTATCTATTTTGAGATATATTTACAATATTGTAATACCTTTATAACATCACAGAAGAATTCCTTCTTCATGAAATTATGGTGGTATTCCTCAAGCATCTTAAATTGAACGAACTTCAAATAAATACAACGAATCTCTGGCGGAGGAAGAAAAGAGCTGTGCTTCTATTTCAAATTGGTGATGCAGTCGCTATTTCAATGTCTACGTTAAACTGACCAGTCAATTTAAGCTTTGATGACACACAGGGTTTAAATTACTCTTCTCACCAAAAAAAGCCTGCCATATTTAACAACAACAACAACAACAACAAAAAAACCCAAAAAACGAAAAAAAAACACGACATGTACTTAAATTTGCCATTGACATAAATAATAAATATCTTTATTATAAGTCAAGCCTAATGCAATATTTGGGATCTACTCGTGCTGAAAATGTATTCAATTTTAAATCTAAAATGCAGTTACCTAGGCATTGCGTATTTTATCTGTCAACCCTATGGCTTTTCTACCAGTTAGAGCTCTCAAGGTTTCCCTTAAGCTGTTTGATTCGCTGAAGATATTGTTTCCATTGCAGGAGTTCACTAGCAGTGGGGGCCTATGCACTATCCATTGCATTTGATTATTCATTTCACAACTGTACATTATCTTCAACCAGAGCACCGAGAGGCTTAGGATAGTGTTTTTCCCAAGGAGGATTGGTTTTGTTGCAGGTTCTCTAATAAGAACATTTCCCAAGTGCAATATGTTTCAATGTTCAAAAGAACAAGCAGCAAGCACACTGCCTGACAGCGTAAGATAGCTGCGGGGGCGGGCAGGGGCTCAAGGACTGGAAAAACAGAAAAAAAATATCCGAGCGGCCAGACTTACAGCGAACCTGTAGATGGGAGGAAGTCTTTTGAACCTCCTCGGCTCCCATACAGGCAAAGGTACAGCGCGCTATTGCACTTCCGGCTTCGGCCTACCCAAAATGGCGCTTGACTTTTAGGCCAACCTTCTCCGCTGCACTATCCCCACCCGGTGCTGTTTGCCCCCTTCTCAAGCCCTCCAGGACTTTCTCCACAACAGCTCGGCAACTACAGTTAGCATCCTCCGAGATGTCTGGAAACGGGGGCGGCGCTGATGGCCCAGGTGGGCAGTTGGAGGAGGAGGTTAAGAGGGAGACATCTTCAGATCTCAACTTGACACCTGAACTTCAAATGAACTTGACGTTGACCAGAGACGGTGACGGTGCCGGGGATGGTAGTGTTCCCACCCTTGCTGGCACAGAAAATCAAGGCATGGATGCAGAAAACGATGGTGGCGAAGACACAGTCGACCACGGCCATGGCGACGGTGATGGCGACGGCGGGCCAAGGCGTGAAGTAGAGGAAGATGAGGAAGAAGCGGCAGAAGACCAGCACGAGGTACGGTGCACTCAGGGCAACCCTGATCAGCATTTATCAGACGAGGCCCAGGCCCTGGAGGACTGGGTGTCCTCAGAGACATCGGCCCTGCCGCGTCCTCGCTGGAATGTCCTCACTGCTCTTCGAGATCGGCAGCTGGGTTCCAGTTCCCGCTTTGTTTACGAGGCCTGCGGGGCACGGGTGTTTGTGCAGCGTTTCTGCCTGCAGTATGGCCTGGAAGGCCACAGCGGTTGTGTCAATAGTGTTCACTTTAACCAACGTGGCACCCGACTGGCCACCAGCAGTGATGACTTAACGGTGATAGTTTGGGATTGGGTGCATCAGCAGCCAGTACTGGACTTTGAGAGTGATCACAGAAATAATGTCTTTCAGGCCAAGTTCCTTCCCAACTGTGGCGATTCCACCCTGGCCACGTGTGCCCGTGATGGGCAGGTACGGGTGGCACAGCTGCTTGCTCTGCCACACAACAGGGTTTCTAAGCGGGTGGCCCAACATAGAGGAGCGAGCCACAAGCTGGCGCTGGAGCCAGACTCCCCTTTTAAGTTCCTAACCTCAGGGGAAGATGCTGTTGTTTTTGCCATTGATCTCAGACAAGACCGCCCAGCTTCCAAAGTGGTCGTAACAAAGGAGAATGCGAGGAAAGTGGGACTGTATTCGATCTTTGTGAATCCCGCCAATACTTACCAGTTTGCTGTGGGTGGAATGGACCAGTTTGTAAGAATTTATGACCAGAGGAAAATTGATGAGAGTGTGAATAATGGCGTGCTCAAGAAGTTCTGCCCTCATCACCTGGCCAACTGTGATGGCAAAGTAAACATCACCTGCCTGGTGTACAGCCATGATGGCACAGAGCTCCTGGCCAGTTACACCGATGAAGATATTTACCTGTTCCACACCTCTAGCTGTGATGGGGCCCAGTATGTTAAGAAATACAAGGGGCACAGAAATAATGCCACAGTCAAAGGTGTCAATTTCTATGGCCCCAGAAGTGAGTTTGTGGTGAGCGGTAGTGATGGCGGGCACATCTTCCTGTGGGAGAAATCATCCTGTCAGGTCGTTCAGCTCCTGGAGGGGGGTGACAGGGCAGGAACTGTCAACTGTGTTGAGCCCCACCCTTACCTCCCCGTGATGGCAACCAGTGGCCTAGACCATGATGCCAAGATCTGGGCACCCACTGCTAAAGATGCCACCCAGCTACTCGGGTTAAAGGATTTGATTAAGAAGAACAAGCAGGAACGAGATACAGAGGGGCTGGGCCACTCTGATGTGTTTGACACCAACCTGCTTTCCTTCCTCATGCATCACCTGACATACAGAAATTATCGCCGACATGTTACTCCCCGGGTTCCCAACCCAGTAGGACTTGGGGAAGCAGAGTCAGACGAGTCTTCCAGTTCCTCAGTCGTATCTGAGGATGAGGGCGAGGACGAAGAATACCAAGACCAGGGACAGTACCAAGGACGTATGCAGTGCCTCCCATCCTGAATGCCTGATACCTGATGCAGCTTGATGTCACTGCAGTAGGCTGGACTTTAAGCTTGAAATTCAGTTTAACTAATAGATTTGCCTTTGGTCTTTTATTTCCCACAATAAAAACCACCTTTCATCTGTTCCCTCTGCTTTCCTTCCTTCCTTTCTCACATTCTTCCTCCCTCATTATTTTCCCCTCACTTGGTCTTTTTATTCCTCTTCCTTTACCGCTTACCTCTGTGTGAATGTAGAAGCAATTCATTTATGCCACTTTTTGTTTGCTCTCTTACAATAGACTACTAAAGGGTCCTTATTCTGGTGAAAATATTAAGACCCTTATTGAATCTGAAAACAATCACCTTTATTTCATCTTTAGTAGTATGTGTGTAACTTCTTTGTTTGAGCTGAAAATTGTACAAATGTGTTTATTATTCAAAAGTGAGTAAAAGAAATTGTATGCACACTCATATATACTCGTGTGCTTAATGAGAGGAGAGAGAGGAAGAGAGAGGGACAGGGAGAGAGAAGAAAATGGAGAGAAAATGTGGTTAGATAAAGTTCTAGGAAGATAATTTTTTTTGTCTAGAATTAATTACTTGTTCCTGTTTTCTGAATCCATGTTAACACTGATAGATTGTAGTAGCAGGCAGGGCTAGTAAGGAGTGAGTTGAGAGGCCTGACTCTGTCTACCCTGTACTTTGAATTCTCCTGAAGGTGCATGGCTGAGGACTACCTCAGGATTACCAACTGCAGAGTTCTCTTGTGACACTCATAATCTAGAAGGGACCAGCCAGGAATATAAGAATTCTTAAGATTTTAAAATGAGTATATGTTTGAACCAACATTAAGAATAACTTCATGTTGCAATAAAGAGTAGTTTGTACTTAAGATAACTGTGTGATATCATTGAATGAAATATCTCATTTGACATTGATGCATTGCTTAAGGTTCTTCTTAAGGGGTTAAGTTGCTTTTAAAAATTGTTTGTTCTAAGCTTTATTTAACGCAAACTTTGGGTACAGGATGTCCAGGTAGCATGCAATAATAATGTTTCAGTTTTACACCTGTTATGTGTGTAAGTGAGGCAGAGGCCCTCCTTGTCCCCAGCCTCCCTGTGAGGTAGAACACGCCCTGCTTTGCAGCTGTTTGTTGGTAAAGACAGAGGTGTTAAAACACCCTGTGTCCTAACAGAGGCTTTTCTTCCATAATGCTCCTTAAATGGGTATTATCTCAGGCCACTTGAGAGCAGTATGAGTTTATATGAGATCGGACTTCAGAATGGAAAATTACTTAATCAAAGTTTCTGCTCCTTGAGATTCAAAGGTAGAGACAATGGAATGGGATCTGGGCCCCTGGGGTAGCCCCTACCAAGTTCTGCTGTCAGGAAAAGACCCTAAATGTCCCAAAAGAACCTAATGAGTCTGAGCAAAGCACTGTGGTTTAAAAATGGCCATAAGGAAAGCAGAGTAAAACTAGAATCCCAAGTTTGGGGCAATCCTGGACTGTTGGGTGGTTGTATACCAGCCAGAAGATCAACAAATTAAAAAAAAATAAAATACCCTTTGACATTTCCAAAAAACTGGCGGCACTGAGAACAATGGGAAAATAGGGTAACTACCCAGGTCTTTGTCATGTGCTGTTTAGAAGCCGTCAGTCTCTGTCGGTGGGCTGTGAGGGGTTGGAGGTGGGATGGAGGATCGTTGGGGAGGGGTTGTGCTCTGAACTAAAACCTTGAGATTTCCCTGCATGATTCTGCCCTTCTGGTGCAAGAAGAGGCACTTGGAGCAGCATTTGGAAGGCAAGGGCACAGTAGTAGCCCTATTTGATTTGGGCTCAGAAAGTAGGCCAGCGGCACACTGGTTCTTACCTCCTGGCTCCCCTTAGTGTGAGGCAGTAGCTGGGCCTCAGATCTTTCTTCAGCTTCAGCAGCTCCATAGGAACACTGCCCACGTCTCCTTCCCGCACTCACGCCACCTCGGGTGGAGGCCTGGAGGCCGTGACGATCAGCCTGGGCTCCAGGTTGTCCTGGTGGGTTCCGGTGAACCTCACAGGTTTCAGTCCACCTTTGCTTCCCCCACTGCACAGCCATCTCTCCTTCCAGAAAGCAGTGCTGGCCCCCGGCTCCGGCACCTGACGCAAAGACAAAAGCCTCAAGAACACTGCTTAACCAGGTCCCACAGTCACGCACTCTCCCGTCCCTGTTATAAGTCACCTCTGCTTGGACCCCCGAAGGAGGCCGCCATAAGCACCTGTTTGGATTGAGTAAGTCACCAGATTGCCTAGACGATTTGCCATTTGTAAGAGTTAATCCCCCTAAGGAGAGAGGTTGGTCTTTTTTAATGTTGGTAGATAGATAACAGGGATTGGGATAAATTGAAAAATACAGTTATGATAATAGCTGAACACGAAGCTGGTAGCATAGATCCCAGGAATTGAAAATTATGTTGCAATTGTAATTTATGTAAATATTGGTATATTAGGAAATAGAAGAGAACAATAAACATCACAACCCACCTTCCTTGCCATGGCGGGCCAAGCTAACAATTCTGCCATTTAAGCAGGTGAAACTTCATCTTAAATTTAATTTCTCAACACCAACTATTTTCATTCCACAATGTCGTTTCTATGGGACAGCTCAGTGTAGGCTCTCCTGGCCTTTAAGCAGTATTATAATTCTCTTCTCATTATGCACAGATTCTAACTACATAAAGCTGGTACATTAGCCAAAATGTACTTCTATAAAGACAACTTCTGGCAGTCATTTCTAAAAAAACAGTTGTAGAAAAGACCACCGGAGGAAAAAATATATATATAATGGTGTCTAGTTGCTAAATGACAAGCCAAAAGAATTTTAGTGAGTCCTGTTGGTCCCACAGTGACCTTCAGCATTGCTCCTTCTACCACGGGAGCCAAAAGCATAATGATTTCAGTTTTTACATTTCCTTCTCAGAGCTTTATAGGGGACTGAATACACATTTCTTTAATGGACAATGATTTCAGAGATGGGTGTATGCCTAGGAGATTACTGTGTTACTCTCAACCTGCATTGTGGAGAAAACTAGGGATTTCTGGATCTTTTCTGTGGGAGAGGGTTTGGAAATTCTTTATCCTGTTGTTTTAGTCAGAGGACAATGTCTTTTTTTCCTCCTAATTTGGCAACACCTTTATCTCTTAATTCCATCATATAAGCAACTACCTGTGGAATTTAGATGCACATATACTAACAAATATATTCAAGTGCAGTCCCTCAATAATTCTTTTTTTATTTGTAGTTATTGATTTGAGAGAGAGAGAGATGGACTTGCTGTTTTTCTCATTTATGCATTCATTGGTTCCTTTTATGAGTGCCCTGACCTGGGATCAAACATGCAATCCTGGCATATGGGAGCGATACTCCAATCAACTGAGCTACTGCCCAGGGCTCAATAGTTCTTCATAAAACCCATATTAAAACAGGGGACAGAAAACTTAAGTTCTGACAAATTAACTTTCCAATGACATTGAGATAAGAAGGTGTAAATTGGAGTATCAATTAGAATTTGCAAATAAATTTTTCTAATAAATAATGGCACCTAGCATAATTGTTTTTGTGCATGGTAATTTGGCTTAGGTGACAATAGAAATTGAGATCCCATGTCTCAAGATGGGAAAGTCAAGGAGCATATAACAAGGACTCATGGACAAAATCAAAGGGGAAGAGCTGAGGGAGGGAGGAAGGGAGGGGGCAAGGGAAAGTGGTGGGGGGAGGCAGAGACAAATGTATTTGAAAAAATAAATTAAAAAAATTTTAAAAAAAAGATTCTTTCATGATATAATTTAAGGGTTAAATATTATTTATTTGACATTGTACATAAAGCATAGTAAGATCATGATATTTAAAAATCACCTTTCACCTGTACAGTTGGCTGTAGCCTCAACCTGGATTTTTGTGAGTTCTGTGGTAGACATGTTAGCAACTCAAGGCCGTTTAATTGAATTGTAGTCTCCTGAGCAGAAAAAATTAAACAACAACAATGAAGCAATAAGACACAAAAAACAAAATACAAACTATGAAAACAGTACGTTCTAGGATAGTAACCGTAATTCTAGCTTCAGCTACACACTGCTTTGAATGACATTGGATGATAAGGGATCTGCTGGTGAAGGGACCAGCATTCTGCCACTTTGAAACTCCTTTGGGGGACATTAATTCAAGCTATTTATTAAGGCACAGGACTCAGAAATAACCTTCTACCTTATCCCCTTCCCTTCCCAGGAGATTCAGACAGAGACCCCTGCTTCAGGAAAGAGGTTTTAGGATGTTCGCCTTAGAAAAGGGCTTCAGGCAGGTGGCTGTGTGCTACATACCCCGTGTCCCCCCTGTCTCTGAGTCGCCTAGCAAGGATTTTCCTGCCATGTGGGTTCCACTGTTCCTGCACTACCTGTACATCGCCCGTTCTCCCTTCTGAAAGCTCATACCCTGTTCCCCCTTCTTCTTTGTCTATGAACGTCTTCTACAGGCCGCGTTTCTGTCAGAGGGCGGCGGGTTTGGGGGTAGGTGAAAATGGTGAAGAGACTCAGCAAAGAAAGAAAAACTCATAGACACAGGCAGCAGGATGGTGATAGCCAGAGGGCAACGAGGTGGGGGGCGGGTGAAAGGGTAAAGGGGGGACAAATGGTGATGGAGGGAGCCTTGACCTGAGGTGGCGAACACACAACAGGATGCAGAGATGATGTATTAGATGACCGTACACCCGAAGCCTGTATAGTGTTATTAACCAGTGCCACCCCAGTAAATTCTATAAAAATGAAAAACTGGATGAGGCTTTTCCTTGCAGCTAGTTCTATGACCTGAAAGCCTGGCTTGTGATCAGTGAAGATATTTTCTCCGGTCCCCACCACCTGGAAGGTGCACGTGCCGGGTGCACCTGGTGACCGGTCGAATAGAGCGGGTCTCCAAGTGACTCTTGGTCCAGCTCTGCCGGTTCTGAGGGGAGACTGTGATAGGGGGCCCAGCCCTTAAGGGGGCTTTGTTG